TAAGTTTTTAGTTATTAATTTTAGGGAGAGAGAGAGGAAGGGGATATATATATATATAGAAACATCAATTTGTTGTTCCACTGCATTCATTCTTTGGTTGATTCTGGTATGTACCCTGACTGGGGATCAAACCCTATCAGGACCACACTCTAACCAACTGAGCTACCTGGCCAGGACCCAACATTGTACTCTAAATCCCATGATGTGCTTTATGTTTATCCAGTGCATTTTTTAAAAAAATCCTTACCTGAGGATATTTTTCCGTTGATTTTTAGACAGAGTGGGAGGGAAGAAGGGAGAGAGAGAGAGACATCGATGTGAATGAGACACATCGATTGGTTGCCTCCCGCAGGACCCCGACCCGACCAGGGCCAGGGATCAAACCTGCAGCCGAGGTACGTGCCCTTGACTGGGAATTGAACTGGATATTCTTTGGTCTGCTGACTGATGCTCTAACCACTAAGCAAACTGGCCAGGGCTATACGGTGAATATTTATTAAACAGGTAGGTACTTGTTATATGCTGGGGTTACAGTGGTCAAAACGAGAGACCATTTCCATGAGCTCAAGAGTTTGCATTTCACTGGTGGGTACAGAGGGGCAGCAGAATTAAGTAAATGATGATCAAAGCTATGGGGTACAACAGTGGGTCACTGGGGACTGGGTGGGGAACTCCTTGAAAATGGGGGGTAGGGAAGGCTCAAGGGAAGATGTGAAGAGTGAGAGGAGTCAGCAGATTAAACAACAGCAGGCACACTTAAGGTCGAGGGGCCTGAGTTCCTGGCCTGGACGTAGAACTTAGGGGTTCATGGAGCAAACTGGAGGTCAGTGTGGCAGAGTCTCCCTGACTGAGGGCGAGCTGTGAGACCTTTGGCTGTGGTAAAGAGAGAGGATTTTATTATAAAGTGCTGTGGGAAGGTACTGAAAGGTTTTCAGAAGGTGAGTTCGTTAGAAATCATCTATATTTAGAATGAGAATCTCAGGCATTTCCTATTGGCCTGGTGTCTATTTCTCTATCTGGTAACTTATGTACAAGATCCCACACTAATCTTTGATTAGAGATGCTCAACTTTTCACTAAAACACATTCTCTTCCATTATTCACCTCCCTTGACTATGGTATCAAGGGAGGGAGGAAACACATTTTTAGAGTATGTACCTTGTGTCAAGACCCCCTTGGCTCTTAGGCACCCCTCATATTGTTATTCATACTACCTTGTGAGGATATGGCTTCCGAGGTAGTGATTAAACTTAATTGTTATGGTTAGTGCTGGAGCCAGGGTTGGCATCCCTGTCCCCTCCCCAGCAAATGCACTTTGCTCGCTGTCAGGTTGCTCTGTCATCTTGATGACAGAGGTATCTAAGACTATAAGCATAATCAGAATAAAGATGTTTTCTCATCCTCATAATAGATAATCTTAGAGGTTGCAAAAATGGTATGATATTACTTCACTTTATTCATCTTATTTATTCATTTGAACATTTTCAGAATGGCTCTTCTAACAGTGTGGTGCTTATGTTGTTTATGATTGTATTCACTCAGGACTGGAATATAGCGAGCGATATTCTCCATGTTTATCTTGGGCTACATTGACTTAGTTAACAGCAGGGAAATTTCCTATCTTCCTGTAAAAATCCTTTGTTCATTTGATCTTTAGCTTTCATTACTACTAAGAATGGAAGTTAAAATAGCTAAATTATAACTTCCATTCTACATAAATTTAATAATTTAGTTTTCATGAAAAATAAGAAATAAGATTGATTGGTCAGTTTGCAGCAATTAAGAGAAATGTTGCCATTTAACTGGCAATAAGTCTACATAATTCGTTTTAAGAATAAGAGTTTTTACTCTGGTGTAAAATTTCCCAAGAGTCTATAATTGGGAAGAATTTAGTAATGATTATGTTTCTTCTTGAGAATGAAGGAAGTTTTAAAATAGTCTAAAGTTAATGGAATCTATCCAGTTAGATTACATTGACCTCTTTTTAATATTACTTTTTCCGTAAAGAATTGGTTAAATGACTAGCAAAAAAAATTAATCTTTTATTATTTCTAAAAATTTCCTACTTTGTTTTTGCTCACTTTAACATACTTGTTAATGATGGATTTCTACGCTTGCAGTGTTTTGGGTTCCAGAAATTCATTTCCTCTATTTCTATGTGTTAGTATTTGAATAAAGATTTTCATGTTTTGGTAACTTCAAATTATAGAAACACATATTCTTGTGGAAAAAAATTGCAAAATTTGTATTTTTTCAGGCTTTTGTATGCATATACAGTGTACCCAGACAACCTGGATTTAAATTCCAACTTAGTAAATGACCTTGGGGAAGTTATTGAACTTTTCTGTGCCTCAGATTCTTCGTTTGTAAAATGAGTACATATGTCATGGGATTATTGCACGGCTTAAATGGATTAATACAGGCAAAATGCTTAGAATGTTGCCTGGCCCCCTACTAAGAACCACATACATGTGTTAAAAAAATTATTATTTTTTTAAATAAACAGAAATTTGATCCTTGCTGTTCTGGAGGCTGGAAAGCTGAGGTCAGGGTACCAGCATAGCTGGATGAGGGCCCTCTTCCTGGTTCATAGCCCGTGTCTTCACTCTGTGTCCCACATGGTGGAGCGGCTAAAAATGTTTATTGTGGAAAAATTCAAGCAAATGTAAAAATAGAATCATGTTATGAACTTTAATATACCCATCTATTATCAACATTTAGATATTCTTGTTTGTTTTATTATTCCCTCTTTTTTCCCCCCTTCTGGAGATAGACTGTAGTATTTTATAGAAAATCTCATATGCCACACCATTACCCATAACTACTTCAGTTTGTACCATGTTAATATTTGCTTAAGAAATAAATTATTTTAGAGAACGAATGCACAAAATTTGAGTCATTTTTGAAGCGATACAATATAAGTAAAATACCTATAAACATCTGTGGTGTTTTACTACATTTTAATGAACTGAATGGTATTTGAAGTAAGATTATGAATATAGAGGTTTTAGTTATTCAGATTAGACATTTATTGATCCATAAGATCTTTAAAATGATTGGGCACCAGTTTTATTGCAAATATACTGTAAAGATTATTTTGTATCAACATAACATATTTATTCAAAAAATGTACTGAGCAATTTGAGTACTCTTGGTAGAACAAAATATTTAAAAATTATAATATTGGAAAAAAGTCATCTCATAAAGGAGCTAATTCAAAGACTTTTTTGAAGACTTAGATAGGATATTGTAAAAATTTCAGAGATAAATAAGTCTTTAGATTTAAAAAATACCATTTTTTCATCTGTATTCCCTTACAGATTTATATATTTATATTATGTCTAAATACATAAAGATATATGACATTATATGAGAGATTATTTAAGAATAATTAGAGGAAATATTGTAACAAATCAGGCATTATTCAAGTTGGTCATTTTGTTTCTTATTTTAATGCCTGGTTTTCTAGACCAGCTAAAAGATCTAACTTGGAATTTCCTGCCTTTGATCTTATTTTAAACTACCATTTCAAAATCTGAGTAAAGTAGCATGTGATAAATCTGAGAAGGAACTCAATTGTAAAGGTAGGAATTTGATTGTAATTTGATGTATTTCAGTAAATTGCAAGCGGTGAGATCATCAGAAGTCATAGCCACCTAAATTTGTTCAGCACTTTGATTATAGATCTTAAAATTCCTGGGACATGATGCAGTAATGTGGACTGTGCTGGTCATACCTCATGTCACAGATGGTCCAGGGAAACACTGGGTCAGATATCAGGAAACCTTTTTTCTTACCTGAGCTGACGGGATGACTTGCCGTTTTTTGGTAAGTTCCTTGATCTCACTGACATTCAGTTTCTTTATTTCACCAGTGGAGAAAAGTACAGAAGGGAGATGCTCTCAGGTCCACTATACTATTATGGAAGTACTAGCTATTTTAATAAAGAGACCCCAAAATTCAGTGGTTCAAACAAAGTAGAAGTTTCTTTCTTTCTCATGTAATAGTTGGAGTTCCAGGATGCAGTTCTTTAAGCTATCATTTAGAGTTCCAGGTTCCTTCTATCTTGTTTATTCAACAATGTCCTAGAATAGTGATTTTCAGCCATTTTCATCTTATGGTACACATAAACTAATTACTAAAATGCTTTGGCACACCAAAAATATTTTGCCAATTTGACAGAAAAACAGGAATACTTTTTATTCATTCACACTGGATAGCTATTGTTGTCTTGGCTGTAGTCATTTGTTTATTTGATACTCTAAGGGAACTGAGGTCAGTGTCCCTGACTAAATAGTCAGGACTTGCATGTTTCAAAAATTCTTGTGGCACACTATTTGAAAATTACTGTCCCAGAGGCATTGTCTTCATGCACATGATTGAATCTGAGTTGTTGCCAAGTCCTGGTTTTGGTTGGGAAGGGGGTAGATGAAGCATTCTGCAGTCTGGAAGTAGCACATCACATCTGTTTCAATGCCCCTGGAGGGAGCTTGATTGCATACATGTCACACCTAACCAGACTTGAGGCAAGGAAATGTAATGAAGCTGATCAGGCTACTGTTTCATTAACATCAAGAAGGAGAGCACAGGCATTGAAGTTGGTGGTCTCTGCCACATCTATGCAGTTCCTGATTTATAATATATTGAACAAGAAGTTCTATCACCCCACTTAATTGCCCCCTGCCTTGGCTTGATTTTGAAATTACTGCTAACATAAAAGTATTTTCTAGTCTTAGTCTAATTTAACGATGCCTTAGTGATCTCTCAAAATATAATGATTAGCAATTACCATTTTCTCGCACTTGTTCATTAGTGTTGAAAACTTTCCATTGCAATTTCCCCATTATCTTTCCATTTTTATGAATCATATAGTTAGTAGGGCTCTAATTGTCTTGTCCTGTTAATTTGAGAATACAGGTGACAATTGCATTTTGAAGGTTTTGAAGCAAGAGCTCAGGCTAAGCTTGAGTTTCTAACAGGTGTCAGGATTTATTACAGGGTGATGAAACAGAACATACCTTCCAGATTCTGGTGAGATGTGTAGAAATCCTTAGGACCAAGAACTGGTAGTTGAGAAGCTAAGCAGGTGGAAAAATAAGGAAGATACAAATATTGGACAGCAGAGCAAGGTGGGTGACTGAAAAATATAGAGTTTTTTCTTTCTTTTTTCCCCTCTTATTTTTTAAATTAATTAATTTGTTTATGTTACAGATGTTTCTCCTTTTTCCCCCACTGATACCCCTCCCTCCCTGCCTGCCCTGTCCCCAGCTTTGTTGTCCATTGTTCATGGATACATGCATACAAGTTCTGTGGTTTATCTCTCCCCACCACCCCCTTCTCTGGGGATTGTCAGTCTGTACCCCACTTCCACGTCTCAGGAACTACCCCATTCCTCAGACTGTTATGTTCATTATATTCCATAAATAAGTGAGATCATGTGATATTTGTCTTTCTCTGCTTGGCTTGTTTCACTTAGGATTATACTCTCCAGGTCCCTCCATGTCATCTCAAAGGATAAGAGATCTTTCTTTCTTACAGCTGCATAGTACTCCATTGTATATATGTACCATGGCTTTTTTATCCATTCGTATACTGGTGGACACTTGGGCTGTTTCCAGATCTTAGCTATTGTAAATAGTGTTGCTATGAACATGGGGGTACATACATTCTTTCTGATTGGTGTTTCAGGCTTCTTAGGGTATATTCCTAGAAGTGGGATCACTGGGTCAAATGGAAGTTCAATTTTTAATTTTTTGAGGTAACACCATATTGTTTTCCATAGTGGCTGCACCAGTCTGCATTCCCACCAGCAGTGTACTAGAGTCCCCTTTTCTCCACTACCTCCCCGACACTTGTTGTTTGATGATTTGTTGATGGTGGCCATTCTGACAGGTGTGAGGTGATACCTCATCATTGTTTTAATTTGCATCTCTCTGATAACAAGTGATGTTGAGCATTTCTTCACATGTCTCTTGGCCATTTGTATGTCTTGTTTGGAGAGGTGTCTATTTAGTTCTTCTGCATATTTTTTAATTGGGTTCTTTGTCTTCCTTTTGTTGAGTTGTATGAGCACTCTCTATATAATGGAAATTAACGCCTTATCTGATGTATCATTGGCAATGATGTTCTCCCATAGAGTGGGTTGCCTTTCCACTTTGGTGGTTGTTTCTTTTGCTGTGCAGAAGCTTTTGAGTTTGATGTAGTCCCATGTGTTCATATTCTCCTGTGTTTCTGTTGCTTTAGGTGATGTATCAGTGAAAATTTTGCTGTGTATGATGTCTGAAATTTTGTTGCCTACATTTTCTTCTAGGATTTTTATGGATTCATGAGTCACAGTTAAGTCTTTTATCCATTTTGAGTTTATTCTTGTGTATGGTGTAAGTTGAGGGTCTAGTTTCATTTTTTTTGCATGTAGCTGTTCAATTTTCCTGACACCATTTATTAAAGAGGCTGACTTTACTCTACTGTATGCTCTTGTCCCCTTTGTCAAATATTAATTGAGCATGTTGCCTTGGGTTCATTTCTGGGTTTTCTATTCTGTTCCATTGATCTAACTGCTTGTTCTTGTGCCAGTACCAGGCTGTTTTGATTACAGTGGCTTTGTATTATAACCTGAAATCTGGTAATGTGATCCCTCCAGCTTTGTTCTTCTTTTTCAAGATTGGTGTGGCTTTTTTCGGGGCCTTTTTGGTTCCATATGAACTTTCGAAGTATTTGTTCTAGTTTTGTGAAGTATGTCGCTGGTATTTTGATGGGGATTGCATTGAATCTATTGATTGCTTTGGGTGGTGTGGACATTTTAATTTTAATTCTGAGAATCCATGAACAAGGTATGTGCTTCTACTTTTTTATATCTTCCTCAATTTCTTTTTTCAATGACCTGTATGTAGTTTTCTGCAAATAAGACCTTTACTTCTTTGGGTAAGTTTATTCCTATGTATCTTAATTGTGTTGCTGCAATGGTAAATGGAATTGTTTTTATTTTAGTTTCTCTTTCTATGAGTTCATCATTGGTGTATAAGAATGCCGTCGATTTCTTGACGTTAATTTTGTATCCTGTTACTTTGCCAAATTCCTTTATTAAGTCTAGTAAATTTTTGATGGAGTCTTTGGGGTTTTCTACATATAGTGTCATGTCATCTGCAAATAATGACAGTTTCACTTCCTCCTTTCCAATTTGGATCTATTTTATTTTTTCTTCCTGTCTGCTTGCTGTGGCTAAGACTTCCAGTACTATTTTAAATAAGAGGGGCGAAAGTGGGTATCCTTGTCTTGTTCCTGTTCTCAAAAGAAATGCTTTTAGTTTTTGCCCATTGAGTATGATGTTGGCTGGAGGTATGTCATATATGGCCTTTATTATGTTGAGATATGCTCCCTCTATTTCCAGATTGCTGAGCGTTTTTATCAGAAATGGGTGCTGCATTTTGTTGAATGCTTTTTCAGTATCTATTGATATGATCATGTGGTTTTTATCTTTCATTTTGTTTATGTGGTGTATCACATTTATTGATTTGAGAATATTGTACCAGCCTTGCATTCCTGGGATGAATCCCACTTGGTCATGGTGAATAGTTTTTTTGATGTATTGCTGGATCCGATTTGCTAGTATTTTGTTCAGGATTTTGGCATCTATGTTTATCAGGGATATTGGCCTGTAGTTTTCTTTCTTTGTAGTGTCTTTTTCTGGTTTTGGAATTAGAATTATGCTGACCTCATGAAACAAGTTTGGAAGTCTTTCTTTTTCTTAAATTTCTTGAAATAGTTTGAGGAGAATGGGTATTAGATCTTCTTTGAATGTTTGGTTAAATTCCCCCATGAAGCTGGAGGGCCTGGGCTTTTGTTTGCTGGAAGAGTCTTGATTACATCTTCAGTTTCTTCTGTTGTTATTGGTGTGTTCAAATTTTCTATCTCTTCCTGGTTCAGTTTTGGGAGACTATGTGTTTCTAGAAATTTTTCCATTTCGCTTAAATTGTCAAATTTGTTGCCGTATGATTGTTCATAATATTTGTTAACAATGGATTGTATTTCTGTGGTGTCAGTTATTATTTCTCCTCTTTCATTTCTGATTTTGTATATTTGGGTTCTCTCTCACTGTTTCTTGGTGAGTCTAGGTAAAGGTCCATCAATCTTGTTTATCTTTTCAAAGAACCAGCTCTTTGTTTCATTGATTTTTTTGAATTGTTTTTTTGGTTTCTATGTCATTTATTTGTGCTCTGATCTTTACTATATTCTTCCTTCTATTTGCTCTGGTGTTTTCTTTCTAGTTCTTTAAGTTTTGAGGTTAGATAGGCTATTAGAAAATTTTCTTGTTTCTTGAGGTAGGCCTGTAGTGCTATGAACTTCCCTCTCAGAACTGCTTTCACTGCATCCCATAGATTTTGTGTTGTTGTGTGATCTTTTTCATTGGTTTCTAGGAAGTTTTAAATTTCTTCCTTGATCTCCTTGGTAATCCATTCATTGTTCAATAACATGCTATTTAGCCTCCATATTTTCAAATGTCTGTGCATGTTCTTGTTGCAATTGATTTCTAGTTGCATGCCATTGTGATCTGGAAGATGCTTGATATGATTTCAATCTTCTTGAACTTGTAGAGACTTAGTTTGTGCCCTAACATGTGGTCTGTCTTTGAGAATGCCCCATGTGCATTTGAGAAGAATGTGAATTCTGTAGTTTTGGGGTGTAATTCTCTGTATATATCTATGAAATTCATTTGATCTAGCGCTTCATTTAGAGTCTGTGTTTCCTTGTTAATTTTTTGTCTAGAGGATCTATCCAGTGATGTCAGCAGGGTGTTGAAGTTTCCTGCTATGATTGTATTGCTGTTGATTTCTCCTTTGAAGTCCTCCAGAAGATTTTAAATATATGTTGGTGCTCCTATATTGGGTGCATATATGTTTACCAAGGTTATATCTTCCTGTTTGATAGATTCTTTCAGTATTATGTAGTGGCCTTCTTTGTCTCTAGTTATGGCCTTCATTTTGAAATTTATTTGATCAGATATGAGTATTGCTACCCCAGCTTTTTTTTTTTTCTTTTCGTTTGCTTCAAAATATTGTCTCCATCCCTTTACTTTCATCCTATGTGAGTCTTTTGTTGTGAGGTGGGTCTCTCGTAAACAACATATATGTGAGTCATGATTTCTTATCCAGTCAGCTACTCTGTGTGTTTTTATCGGAGTATTCAAACCATTCACATTTAAGGTGATAATTAATATGTACTTATTTATTGCCATTTTTGTTTAGTGTGGTTTTATTTATTTTTTCCTATTCTACTAATTACAGCAGTCCTTTTAGCATATCTTGCAGTGCTGGTTTGTTGTTAATATATTTCTTTAGTCTTTTTTGTTTTTTTGTTTGCGAAGCTCTTTATTTCACTTTCTATTTTGAATTATAACATTGGTATATAGAGGAGTCTTGGATTCAGATCCTTGTTTTTCATGACCTTGATTACTTCATGCTACTCCCTTCTGTAGTGTTTCTGTTGAGAAGTCAGCTGAGAGCCTTATGGGGTTTCCTTTGTAGGTAACCTGTTGCTTCTCTCTTGCTGCCTTTAGGATTCTCTCTTTGTCTTTAATTTTTGGCATTTTAATTACTATGTGTCTTGTGAGCCTGTTTGGGTTCTTCTTACTTGGCGCTCTCTGTGCTTCTTAAACCTGTATGCCTTATTCCTTTACCAAGTTAGGAAAGTTTTCTCTCAGTACTTCTTCAAATATATCCTCTAACTCTTGCCTTTTCTTCCTCTTCGGGGACTCCTATGATCTGAAGGTTACTATGTTTCCAGTTGTCCCACTGTTCTCTTAAGCTATCTTCTTGTTTTTTAACTGTTTTTTTCTTTTGGTTGTCTGATTGGTTGAGTTTTTTCTACCCTGTCTTCTAATTCACTGATCCGGTCCTCAGCTTTCTCTACTCTGCTGGTTGGTCCTTTCAATGTGTTCTTAATTTCTGCTATGCCATTCTTTATTCCTACTTGGTTGGTTTTCAATGTTTCTGTATCTTTAGTCATGGTGCTGATGTCCTTACTCATGCTGTTGAGCTTCCTCAAGATTATGGGTCTGAACTCTACCTCTGATAATTTGCTTAGCTGCATTTCTTCTATCTCATCTTTGATAGAGTTCTGTTGTTCTTTCACT